ATGCTGGCTAGTTGGGTCGTTGTTTAGATGACGGTAGAATTTGGCATCGCCTGTCTATAGCCTTCTTTTATGTAATCCGAGCTGTTGAGTATAACCATGGCACCCCCTTGTCAGCTGGTTTGATTATAATATATTTTCTGTTACCTAGATCCTTGAACGCCCTGCGTTCGGGAAGCGAGAGGTTATAGTGATGCGGTTACTGATTTCTATAAGCTGACACAATGTCCTTTTGGACCGGCTGGATATAAAGGTCTAGATGCTTATCTCTGTTGGGACCGGGAGTCCAGCCGGACGATGTCGAAGGCAGAGGAGATGCGCCCTGTTGGGGCCTATCAAAGAAGAATTCCTGAAGCCGAAGGCTTTGTGCGAAATTGTCGAGATCCTGGAGGAGAGTGAATTCGTCGTACTGGCCCGTGGTCGGGCAGAAGTTAAGACCCCTTGAGAGGAGCGACTCTTCGTCGTGGGTTAGCTTTCCTTTGGATAAATTAACTATGATGTTACGATCAAGAGAGTTATTCTGCATGTCCCGTCCACTCACCGTCGTCCGGGGGTATTTAATATTATCCCTAGCTAGCTTACTATTTTTTACCTCCCTGATGATCCCACGTTTCTTTTCTTCAAATTTTTGTAGTGATGCGGTTTCCTGCGGTGACAGTTTATTGGCGCGAAGCAAATTACTTTCAACCCTTCGAACATTCATCGAAGTTGTCTGACAGTGATTTTTAACTATTTTTGCTAAATCGAGAGAAGCATTCGTAAGCACCTCATTTCATTTTTTTAAATCGCTTTCGGAGAGATTTGTCATACTAGGTGGAAAAACAATTTGTAAACCCCTGGGAGCAATGCGCGCGTCGAGGCAAGTCTCAATGTATGCGGCGTGTGACTCGTGGCGTATCCTTTTGTCCGCTAACTTCCTAATTCCTAAAAAATCTGGTGAAAATTTAACAGGTATCTCACTCAAAATAGGAGGAGCTTTTGATGTACCAGGCGGAGACCGTCAGTCCTGCTGCGAGCAGAGAGCCGCGCTGTAAGTCTTGCGCTGATTGTAGCGCGCTTGAGGGGCAGGCTCGGCGATCTGGCTCCTCTGTCCAGCAGGGCGTCCGCCGGCGTCGTCCTCTAAGCAAGTAGGTACCCCCGCCGAGGGCTGGGGCGTTACGGTGGCCGGGTGGCTGTCAGGAAACACGGGTTCCGGCTGTTGCGTAGGCCCAGCGTCATTTTCTAGGGAAGCAGGCACCCCCGCCGAGGGCGGGAGCGTCACGGAGGCCGAGTGGCCGCCGAGAAATCCAGGGTCCGACTGGTGCGTTGACTCAGGAAATTGCGTCTCCCGATCCTCAAAACAAGGGACTCGCTGTTGAAGATCCAACAAGGTGATCGCGCCGGGGTCCCCCACGTGCTCTCGAGAAGCAGCATGGTCACGCCAAACGTCGGCAACTCGGCGGTGGCACCGGGTGAGCAGCCGATGCACGTTCCAAGCCAGGTAAGACACGCCGACGAAGCTGGCGTGCACTCCATCGGCTGCCATGACCAGACGTGCACGAAATTGGCCGAAACAGTGATCAAAGAAGAACGTGCTTCTCGCCTGACGGCGCAGTCCGCGGAGGGCGCCGTTAAAATCCCGTACCCTGGCATTAAATCCGCCGATGAACCTCCAGTTCGAAGAGCCGCGGCGTCGATTGGGCGTGCGCGGCAGAACGAGGGTGGCATACACACTTGTTATGTCGGGACGATGTTCTCGGATGTGCTCGAGAAGGCCACGGTAGTCGGAAAGCGCCGTCCGGACACTTGCGGTGGCGAGGTCGTTTGTGCCCAGATGAAGGATCAGGCGGGTTACGCCTCGGAGAACGAAGTCCAAAAGATGCTTGCCGTCCAGGATGCGGGCACCACGTTGCGAGATGAAAGCAGGTGAGAGGTGGTGGGCTGGATCAAAATGGTGGTGCAGGTATTTTTTCTGTGAATCCCCGATGATTGCAGTTGTGGGGTGGAGAGCAGGGAACTTCCACACAATCGACCTCGAAGTAGCGTTGTCGGCATCCATCGTAGAAGTAGAGACAAAACGAAGCGCAGGATGACGAAAAGTATATATATATATATATATACATGACATCTTGGAGCTAAGTAGGCTGTAGGCGTATTTGTATAAAAGTAGAAGCCACCGAGGGTCAAACAAACTTGGAAGGTTTAATTTAACATGTATAAGTCATACAAAAACCGCGACGTTTCGAAGGGGGACCCTTCTTCCTCAAGCGGGACTTGAAAAGTGAGACCTCAAATACCGAGCGAAATACCGCAGAAGCAAGAAAACCAACAAGCAAAAAATACATAAAATACAAAGATCAAAAAAGATAAAAATAAAAATTCAAACAGCAAACGCAAAACATGGACGAGACCAGTGACATCCACGACCTTGTGTGGCACGCAGGGCACAAAGGCGGGCGATCCGAACCGGGCACACTCGTAATTGCCCGCCGCGGGACAACTCCGGACAGCGATCGCCCCGTCGCGGCCCCCTCCAGTTAAGTTTCGTCAAGGGCGCCCACGATCACCCTGTGCATTGCACACGGCAGTCACGGAACATGATGATTGACGGGCATGAAATTTTGAGAGAGAATGTAAAAACGCGACCAACTCGTCGCAGAAAACTACTGTCCGGTATGGGTAAGCGCCAAGCCGCGCCGCACTGCCCCGAGGAGGCGCCGCGTCGTCGGCTGACAGAACCGGCGCTCCCAGAGATAAAGCGCGAGTCCCGCCGCGGACGGCCCAGACGCCATCCGCGACAATGGGGCACCACTATTAAACTCGGAAGTTGACCAAAAATCGCAGTGTCAAATAAATTTTCGTACAACGCATTCACAACAGCTGAACACAACTGGGTATCCCAGAACTTTCGTTAATTCCACATTTTACAGCATCAAACTTATAGATCAGGTGGGCTTCTTTCAGTTCGCGTTCTAGGTTTGATTTAAAGCCAGATTGAAGCAGCGTAACCGAAAGTTTATCGAATCAGTGGTTCGGTAGCGTTAGATGTTTGGAAAGTGGAAGGCTGGGCACTCTGGTGGAGTGGGATCTGTGATTATTAAACCTTTCATTGAATGCTCTCACGGTTTGTCCTACGTACTGCATCTTACACACCTGACACTAGAGAAGGTAGACGACATTCGGACTGCAGCACCGGAGATCTCCGTGAATTTTCATGCTAAAGTTTGATTTCGTACTCCTGGCAGTATCAGTCGTCACTATGTGGGGGCACAGCTTGCACTTAGGTTTCCCACATGGGCTGCACCCCGAAGACTGGGCGCGCGTTGTGCGCGAATGTACGAGGGTGTCTCTCAAATTTTTTTGAACGTCAGTATACTACGCGGGGAGGGGATGGCATTATTTGTTTCATTCGTTGACTCTTCATTTATGTTGAAATGTTTGCTAAGGATCTTATTGACGTTGGGAGCGTAATTGTTATATGTCATGAACAGGTTGGTCTGCCGATGGTCACTAGTTATTTTACCGTGATCGGTCAAAATATCTTCGCAGTCAAGTGCTCTGAATTTATCAATGGCGTCTTCAATCACACCAGCTGGATACCTTTGCTGCAAGAGCACACCTCAGAGATCGGCGGCATTTCGTTCAAATTCTTGTTTTTCTGAACAGATGCGTTGAAACCTGTGGGCCTGACTGTACGGAATGCTGTTTCTACAATGACGCGGATGAGAGCACTAATAATGCGAGTATTTTTGAGAATCGATAGGTTTTCGATAAAGCCTTGTTTGTAGCTTGTTCCCCTCCACGCTCAAGGTTACATCCAAGAAGTTTATTGACGTGCGAGAGTATTCATGCGTGAATTTGATGTTCGGATGTGCACGGTTAAAGCGCTCAATAAAAATGAGCAGTTGATCTTTGGTACGAGTCCAAATCAGAAAAATGTCATCGATAAACCTTTTGTAAAATATGGGTTGGAGGGGAGACGCTTCAAGAAACTGCGATTCAAGGGCGCCCATAAAAATGTTTGCGTAGTTTGGGGCCATTTTTGTACCCATAGCTGTTCCGCTGATTTGGATGTAATGGCTGTTGTTAAATTCAAAACTGTTCAACTCCAGAACCAACCTGGCCAGTGTTGCGACAACGTCTAGTACATCAAAATAGAGGAAGGCGGTAACCGTTACGGATCAAAGGTAAGGCACGCTCTTTTGAGCTACTTTATTTATTAAATAAAACGTTTACTGCTTTGACGATACAGGTATGCATAAGCGCCATATCTCTGTTGCATTGCAAAAGCAGCGAAGAGTGCGCCTTCAGAATTTTGTTGGCCCGCAACAAAAAGTAATATGACTTGAAACCTAGAAACACAAAAAATGTATATATAAAGTGGATATTTTTAAGGCTCTGGGAAGACGATGCAACGAGAAACGTAACTACGTTACCCGTTACCCGAAATAAGTAGCCTGAGTACGTTATCTGTTACTGTCTCGAAAACGTAACGAGTGCTCAACTACGTTACCGAAAAAAACTAACCTGATGGGCAACGCCGTTACTTCTGATGCCTTACCACCAACACTGGCTTTCAGCCGCTCGATGGTGATGATTGCAAGAATGAAGATAATGAATAATATACCGATGATGACACGGGTGACTATATAAGGAGCGTCTAAAACCCTGAGTAAGAACTGCTTACACAACTGAAAAGTTCTGCTGTAATTATATCGCACATATCCCCAACAAACACATTTTCAATTATCAACTGGTTCATAAAATTTTTTTTTCTGTTTTTTAAGAAAATGTTAAGGGCTTATTATTTCTTTATCTGTTTCAAATTTGTAGGCCTGCTGCCTGTGTGCTCTACCGGTGGTTGGGACACGGTCAGGTGATTTTGATTACCTTTTTGTCCCACCCTCCTTGACAATTGTGTCAAAATAAGATCAATCAATCATTCAATATATCAAGTAGTTCTTCGCAAAGATGTGACTTGATTTGGTGTGACAAAGTTAATAATGACAGAAGAGTTGGCTCACCTGTAATCCTGCCTATCTTTTGACCGTCCAAGATTGACTTGAGGCTCTGTGCGAAGTATGCTGCCGCCTGGGCCCCGAGGCTGTGACCGATGTAATGCACATTGGACACTTTGAGAGCACCGGCTTCGACCAGCGTCTTCACGAGCCATGCCAGTCCATAGGCCATATACCTCGCAGACCGCTTCGCATCGGAATAGAACTCCTTGGCTTTTTCGAACCAGTCCACCACGATAACAGTGGCGTTTTCCTGCGCGCAAAATAAAAGATAAAATGTGGGCGTATACTTTGTCTCACCTTCGCTTCGATTATTGTTAGCCGTGCATGCCAAAAGTGCGAGATAGTTGCTTTGGAATAAGTCTTGGCGCCTGCACGAGAGATCGTGCAGCAAGCGCTCCAGTCAAGGCAGTCAAAGCTAGCCGTTCGCGCTTGCACAACCTTCGCAGTTAGTACATACTAAGGTGAGGCAAAAGTATACTGTATCGACTTCGAAGCTACGCCGACGCGAGCGAAGGAGTAAGTGAGGCCCAAGACCAGGGCCCCGCTTCCACGTGCCATACAAGGGCATTCGAACACCGAGCGCCTCCAGCGAAAGCTGTCTTCCTCACTAATAACTTTATAGTAAAAGATTATCACGCGACAGCGTTTAAAGACGGACCAACAAGCAGAAAGGACAAAGCCCTTCCTCAATTCTTCCTTTCCATTCGAGAAAGAGGGAGACTTTCCTCCTTTCTGTGGGGAGTAGCTGAGAGGCTCGCTCCTATGGGGATAGGAGGAGAGAAGTGTGCGAGAGGGAATGTAAAGAAGGAAGCTGGGATCCGGTTTTCTGCACGGCAGAAAGCGATTCTGTAAAGCGGCCGTTAAGCCAACGATCTGTTCCGCTTACTCGGTACATAACAGCGGTAACAAATATAGGGTGTTTTGAATCGATTTTGGGGAATAAGAATGCATGTAATTAAGCTAATATACTAAATGCAATGTAGTTTTTCTACAAAGGTGTCTTTAGGTGGTGCATTTCTCATGCTCAAAATTCGTGAGTGTATAATTTCTAGTAGGAAAAGCAAAAGAAAAAACTTTTTTTTTTTCATACTTGGGAGGAACTCTGAAACTAACCGTGGGGTGGGCACTAACACTCAAGTATGGCACCAGATTTTACACAAACTTGAGAGCTTAACTGAGAACCTACAAGAAATCCAGCAGACCCGAACCTGTGTTGTGACATAGACGATTAGAGCACTTTCAGCACTTTATGTCTTCTGGCATAGATTTATGAATGTATGGTTGGTATGTTGCATTCTCCCCTTTGAATGAAGCGGTAGCTTGCGCCACCTAGCCCGGAGACATTTCCAAACCCCAATCCTCCCCTTTAAATTTGGCTACAAATTCCGTTTCTCGCTGAATTATCTGCCACCAGATTTTGTGTATAATCGTGCCCCTCTAGACTACAGGCAACAATCTTCTAACCTCTGTTTTGGGATTATAATCTCCTGCTTCTTAGTTTTTTTCGCCTATCGCCAGCAAAAGCCAGCGCTCCCGCCACCCCTGCTACCAATTCAGGGAGGCCAGAACAAAGTTCCGTGCACTTCAAAACCATATGTTCATTTATACCTCAGACCACGGTCTTATGGAACCACATTTCCAGGGTCTGTGGCATCCATATACGATTCCATCGCTTTTAAACAATGCCTTAACAATGTTAACTTTTAGCATTTCATTATTATGTTTTTTGTTTTCATTCTTTGGATTGTTGTTTGTTTGCTTTTTAGTGTCTCCTTGTAACCCACTCCCCTCTGCAATGCCCTGGGGCCCTGGGGGTATTTGAAATAAATAAATAAATAAATATCCTCTTGCGTTTCGCTACCATTATGGAATGTGGCACATACGTGTCTATTTTTTTTTTTTAATTCAAAAAGCCAGATCTTGCTTCATACACTAAAGATCTTCGCTGTAAATTATCAAACGCCCGTTTCTGTCTTATGTCCTGTTCTTGTTAACTATACATCGCTAAACCGAAATTATGTTGCCTCCCCCGCCCCCCCCCCCTTCCCCCCCTTCACACTCAGAGACACACAAAATTTTCCTCCTGCTTCTTTTACTTTAGTGTCCACTGAGCTAGACCGCTTGGCCCCATGATAGAAATTTAAAGGTCAGCTGGGGGTTGAGTTCGTTGGTTTTGTATTTTCTGTTGTCGTATATATATGCGCTTAACACCCAGCGCAGTACCCCATTTCAAAAAGAAAGTCCAGGCCAAACACAACTCTCCGAAAACTTTAGATAGTAGAGGCCAGGACGACGTTATTTTTTTTTTTTGGATTTTAAAAAGGCGTTCGATAAGGTGAACCACAGAAAGTTAATGTGCAAGGCAAGACCTATGCTAAAGAACCAAACCTTGTCAGGATGGATAGTGTCATTCCTTTCCGATCGAAAGCAGTTTGTTAGCATTGAAGACAACTACTCGGATCTTTGTGCTGTTACTTCTGGTGTGCCACAAGGCTCAGTTCTGGGGCCGTTGCTTTTTCTTATCTTTATAGACGATCAGGTTAAGGACATGTCGGTGCACGCGAGACTTTTTGCAGATGACTGTATTTTGTACACTAAGGTAACAACGTAACGTAACGTCTAAATACTAGTTTTCTAGGAAACACTGCGAAGGGCGTTTCGAGTTGCTCAGTTCCACGCTTCATATTTCGGTGGAAATATATTTTTTTGCAGGTCATTCGTGGAACTCCCGTCGTAGATCACAGTGACTGGCTGTTCGAGTACCCTGGGGTATGCCAGGCGTTTGGGCATTCTTAGGGTGTATATTCATAATAACTCAAAGAAGTGGCTGTTCGAAGTATCGCGAATGGGTCTTGATGATTCACACTGTGTCGGCGAACTCACTATATCATTTAGCCTATGATCATGCCTACAATTGTTGAAAACGAAAGGTTAGACCTTTACGGCAAGCTTCTTTTCAGATCCAATGAAACCCTCCGCTTGGCACACGTGATTAAATAACATAAAACATACCCTTAGCTACGTGAAGAAATACAATATTATATCACACCTGGAATCTACTTATAAGAAAATATTTGAAATGTGAAGTTTTTCCGGGAATGGTCACGAAGAATCGCTAATTTCTCGCTTTGATTTATTTTAATTTTCCCCGAACATCAAGTGCGTGTGTGTGTGTGTGTGTGTGTTTTTATTGTCATCTTTATATCTGAACAATATGACATCGTTACTACTTACACTTCAGTCCGAGAAAGTGAAGACAGCCACCATTTGTTAATGATTATCGGATTCTACGCCAGGCCAAGTTTTGATGCGAGCAAGAGACGTCCTTCTGATACGACAAGGTGTTATCGTACGCAAAGACAAAATCTCAGCAAGACACTTTAAAAAACACCGCAAATTGTTTTCTCAAAACAAATCTTACAGCTGCACTCACCACGGGGTATCAGTAGAAAGAAATCATAATCGCCCTTAAAAAAAGGAAGTTTTGAAGTTTGAGTTTAGCTAACAGTTCAACAATAAACCTTAGCGAGGAACATGCTTGTCGAAACTCGTCCCCTTCTAAGCGTCCCGTAGTTTGAGAAGCCTGCCGATACTTAAAAATAAATATAGAGCGGTTCAACGGAACGCTTTTTCACTTTTGGTATGGTGCCTGGAGTGCGTCTCTGAATGGTGTGTTTAGCGTCCCATGTCGCCCATACAACAAAAAGTGGTTCAGAAATGGCAAACAAATGACGTCGCGGACGCCTGAGTGTCGAGCTGGCGGAGGTCGCGATCCTGGCGGTTGGCCGTAGAAATGCTAGCGAAAAGCACGAGCGACCGCAAGTGTCGCTGTCGTCGCGGCGTCCCAATTTCGGACTGTCCAAGCTTCCGCGGACTGCTACACTGGAGAGCGACCTGCAGCGGAACAGGCGTCTGCCTCCTACACCACAGCTATTGGGACGCCGCCAGGATCGCGACCAGCGACATCAAGACGCTTCCATGACGTGATCAGTCGAAAGTCGGTGGACCACTCCTTGGGCGCTGTAGACACACCAGTGGGAGACGCGTTTCAGGTACCGTACTTTTGGTAAGCCGTGTTCCGCCATGTTGATCAAGCGCGCCCACCGCTCTCTTTATTATTTTTTTTTATTCAGGCGCTTAGTTATTGGCGTTGTTTTTGGTATTGGCTTAACGCGCAAGGATGACGAGTGTCTCTGCCGATTACGAAACTCAGTATGTACGACGGGAGACGTAATTCGAACCACGGAAAGCAATGTCTACCCCGTTTTAGTTATACATTCGGAGTCGACTCGGCGGAATCGGTAGCGACCATTTTGGCAATCGAGGAGTAAACTTCTCGAACGGTTGCTCGTCCGATGTTTAAATAAAAATTGGCATGTAGACAGGTCGAGTGCCAGCGAGTGCTTGTTTTACGTTCCCGACAACTCTAACAAACGCAAACAATCATAACGCATAAAGAAGCGAAATTTAGTAAACACTGCCTCGGCGCATAGACAGACGACAGTTCATCGGCCGGCGTAATTTGGAGCCGGAAGTAAGTCACGTGAAACCGCCTTATACATTTTCGAAATTTTACGTGCACTGCTGGTTCTAACTTACCACCCGAAGGAGCTCGTTCTTAATGCCTGCCAGTTCCTCATCCTTGACCTTGCCAGATGAAGACGAAGAGCTTGAGATACTTGAGAAGGACGCAATCGAACCAAGCCATCCGTGGACGAGCAGGTAAAGCTTCTGGTCGGGATCCAAAAGAGCCGCAATAGAGGGAAAATCGTTCACGTGTGTTGCGAATTTAGCGGCATAATAGTAGTCAGAAGTTCCGTTACGTTTCCGATTCGTGTAGACTTCATATATAGCGCTAATATCTCCCGGGCTTCTCCTTGTCCGGTTCATCCTGTCCCTGAAACGTATTGCTTCAGAATTTAGGTCCAGGTTCTGACTATTGCATTTGGAAGTTAGATGACCCCCTCTTGAACGAGATGCGCTCGTGTCATCTTCGGTGTTCACCGGAGTTGTCACTGCGATTCCAGAGCTTTTAGAGCTATCCTGATGAGACGAATGCCCTTGGTCGAGAAGGAAGACACCTGGAACATGGGGAAAGTAAATCACGGACACCGGGTGCGAGCTGAGCTAGATGCTTACCAGAGAGTGCCAAAATTAGTGCAACAAAGTTGCGCATGGTTCTTCGATTGCCGAGCGGTTTCACTCGCGCTGTAAGTAGAGATTAATATGATGTATGTAATGAAGATCAACTAATTTAAATTAAAATGTGTAAAACTGCCGAAAATTACAAGAACTACCAACCAAAACAAAAATACAACAGTAATAATAATAATAATAAATATAATAATTATTTATTGTCTCTGTGCCCCAAAATAACCTTACGGTTTTGAAGTGGTGCACATACGTACACTAAAACTAAAAAAGTGCATTGTAAGAATGCCGCCTTAAACAGTAGGCAACATGTGTCCCAATTTATGCCTGAAGGGGCCAATTCACCAAAAATATCTAAATTTGGCGACGCTAAATTGCTAAGTAATAATTACATGCGTATTATTGGAGACATTTTTTTTCCTTGAAGAGAAGAGTTCTGCACAGCCGAGCAAGCACTTTAAACTTAAAACAGCACAAGTCAACGTAAAACTTTCCGTGTATAATTTTGTGTAGAAACAACACGTTACAAGAGAGTCTGCGAGTTGATAGACATTAAGGAGGCAGACTTTTCAGTGAGTATTCGTAATCATAACATCTATTAAAATACCTATCATAAATAAATTCAGTGAGTATTCGTAATCATAACTTCTATTAAAATACCTATCATGAATAAATTCAGTGAGTATTCGTAATCATAACATCTATTAAGATATCTATCATAAATAAATAGGATAAAACAAATTTGCACGGATTCATTACGTCGCGCATCAGTAGTTGAGAAATATTTCCAAATTACACTGCCAAACTCAAGCTTTCTACGTACCAGACAGGAAAGAAACAAACAATGCATAAGCGATTAGTGAAGTCATAAGATAAGCATGATAACACGCCCAGCATTCAAATTGAAGAGGCGATTATCTACGTGACATGATAGGAAAAAGATAGTCCGGTGTCAAAATCAATCCCAAGGTCGTGAGCGATAGTGACTCGTGTAATAGTTTTTGAATGAAGTACATACGTACAGTAAAAAATTTCGCGTTTTCGTCACATTGACAGTAGTTTTGTTTTGTCTGTATTATTTACAAAATATTTGCTGAACACAGCCCAGAAACACGTACAATATCATCCTGCAAAAGAACGCACTCATCGGATGATCCCATATTGGTAAATATCTTGATATCATCAGCGAACATTAACAGCTGTTAATATTCTATGCACAAATGAAGGTCTTTATAAAAATGGCGAAAAAGAAGGGCCCGAAGTTCGATCCTTGGGATAGCCGAGATGTTGGCATGGAAATTTATTCATTTATTTATTTTCATTCTCTCAAGGCCCGGAGGCTCCACAGAGAAGAGTGGGTGATACAGATGAAATCGTTGGCAAACTTCTTGAAGTATGTGGTGCCCAGGATAGACACGATGGAGGCAAGGAGGTGGTACCAATCGTTAGATGTTCTTGGTATAAAATAGTCAAAATAGATGTTGGTAAGACATGTCGGCGTGCCAACCTTACACGGATGATCGTTAAGAGGTGACACATATTACGCGGGAAGAAGTAGTTGATATTTTAGAATTGGGTTAGTATAATATATTTTATGAAAAAGACAAAGACGAAAGTATTTAAGGCGCAAAGCGAGGTCATGTAAGTTCGAAGTTGTCTTCATTGTTGAAACACTAGCATGACGAGAATAATTAGAAAGGGTAAAACGGGCTGCTCGGTTCTGGACTGATTCGAGAATGTGTGATAATGTTACATGTCCCGGATCCCAAACAGATCAGGCGTATTCGAGTTTTGGCCTGACTAAGGTTTTATATAATTGCAGTTTGACCGGAAGATTAGAGGAACGGAAGTGGCGGCGCAAAAACCCAAGCGCACGATTAGCATTATTAAAGACATAGTCAACATGCATGTTCCAGGAAAGGTTATGAGTTATGTGAATACCAAGATACTTGTATGAAGAAACAGCATCTAATGGTATATTATTAAGGATGTATATGGCAATGGTCAATGTTTTTAGAAAGTTGGGAAACAGGCATGCTTTTACATATAGTAACGTTAAGCTTCATTAGGGATTCAGCGCACCAGGAAGAAACTACGTCGAGGTCTGACTGTAGTATAGCACCCTCTTGGCATTAGTAATTACGCGGTAGAGTACACAATCATCCGCGAACAATTTAATAGAGGACAACATTTTCGATGGGAGGTCGTTAATGTAGACTAGAAACAAGAAAGGCCCCAGGACACATCCCTGCGGTACGCCGGACCTTACAGGAGTAGTAGAAGAATTATGCCCGTTGACAGAAGCATATTGTGAGCGGTTAGAAAAAAAACATTTAATACAGCCCAAGATGTCAGAATCAATATTAAGTAACTCAGTTTCAAGAGACGTAGGTTGTGCGAGACAGAGTCGAAAGCCTTAGCAAAATCTAACATAATGCAGTCAACTATTAGCCCGGCAACAATAGCAACTAACAGGTCATTAGTAAACAATACGAGCTGTGTTTCACAAGAAAACAATCTTCGGAACCCGTGTTGACAATTAGTAAAAAAAGAGTTGGACTCGAAAAAGGCAACAAGGTGAGAGTAAATGACATGTTCAAGTTATTTACACTGCACACTAGTCAATGATATGGGCCTGTGAAAAAATTTCGGAATGAATCAAAATTAAAGAGGGGGGGGGTGCTCTTCAGGAACATTGAATTTATTCTATCAGTCCCAGCACACGGGGAAATTTTAAGGTTCTGGATTTAACAGTCGACACCAAATGAATCAATACAAACAGGAAACATAGGACTAAAATTAGCGCTGAAAACAATTGTGCTGTGTATTGTGTGCGTGTTCGCCACGCATAACGAACAAAACTTTTGGCACAGGCAACGGTCGGCTGATGTAACCGGAGAGGGCCACGGAGAAGAACGTAACGCCTGGGAAACAACAGACTGGGCGCGGTCGCAGACCGAAGAAGACGCTTCTCAACCGAATGTTACCTAACAGTTAAATAAATATATCCTGCATCATCCCAAATTACCGGTACATCACAAATTGGATAACAGGTAGGAGTCGCGTGGGAAAAATAAGAAGCAAACACATCGTTCAGGACATTGCAAGAATCGTTTAGATCTACAGGAACAATATTCGCATCACAAAGCTCAACCGCACTCGATCTCCTACCGCTGACCACGCTCCAAAACGTTCGTGGGTTATCTTTCAATATAGAAAAAAGTGTACACTAATAAAACTCCTGCTTTGATTGTGCGACAGCTTGTTTATACTCCGTATCAGCAGCTTTGTAAGCGTGCCAGTGCTCAGCACATTTTGTTAATTTTGCGCGCCGAAATAACCGTTCCTTTTTATTTCCAAGGTGCCTGAGACTTAGAGCGGATGCGTTTCAGAGGAGTGTACTGGTTAGTTAGGTCACTCACTTTTTGTTTAAAGAGAGACCAAGTTTCTACAACCGTTCGCGTATGAAAGCGTGAGGTGTAAATGGTTAGAAACGTGTCTAATTCATTATTAATTGAAACAAAATCGGCATTTTTGTAGTTGCGAATAATCTTAAATGCTTTACATGAGGAAGCAGATTCCTGCAGGTCAAAGTGAATAGCACAATGCTCACTTAAACCTGGTAAATAAGTTAAGGGAGAGACAAGCTCAGGGGTTGTAGTGAGAATGAGGTCTAATACATTGGAAGAATGAGATGAACATCGTGTGGGCTCTTGTACAAGTTGCTTTAAATTAAAATCAAGACTAGGGCTTAGAAACGAAAAAGCCTGTGATGAGTGATAATTTATTATTGGAGTGTTGCTTTTCCAGTTAATTGTGGGAAAATTAAAATCACCCAATAAAAGCAAACATGAAGAAGGAAACCGTACTACCATTCTATTTAAAACATCGTGAAGCTCAGAGCACAGTGTACTAGACGAAGCGGAGGGTCGATAGCAGGCGCAAAAAATAAAATCCTTGTTCCTGACATGTACACGGACACACACAAACTCTAAAGATATGTTAAGTGGTACAACGCTCAATATTATAAAATCACGAACAGCGATAAGAACACTGCCACCTGAGCGCGAGTCACGATTGAAATAATAAAATATCGGAGTAGCTATTTGGATATTTTGACGCAACTCTGACAACCAGTTAAATAGGTGTTAAACCAGATAAGAAGTGGAAGTGATAAGTCACACAGGGATAACTTATAGAGTAGAAGATCATGATTCACTTTATCGAACGCCTTACTCATGTCAAAGCAAGCATTATTTACTTGGCCTCGGAAAAGAAATATGGGAACTGAGTAATCGAGAAACGAACAAGGATAGGGTCCCACTGAATGACCTTTAAAAACCCACGTTGAACATTACAACATTTCTTGTTGAAAGTAATAAGAATGACGTGAGTAAATATTCATCTGAAAGACCTTCGAAAGAGCTCATAACAAAAATCTTTGAGAGGAATATTTACTATCGTGTTTTCTATTGCCTTCAAAAGAAAACAATGACAACAAACGTCAATGAACAAGGCGAAGTAAGATAACACAAGGCGCTTATGTAACTTAGCGTTCTCAATCATGAAGGTGGGAAGCTTCTGGAGGCGACAAGAACCCACCAGAGGTAAAACCGGGAGAAACTTTCGGTTTAGAGGGACACACCCGAACGATGACCAAAAACGGATAAAGCTAAAAGACGCTTTTGGACGGAATGTAAAGGTGATTTGGCGCCAACGGCTGTTTTGGTCACCCACCGACCTCGACCTCCACATCCGGTTTCACTTAAGAGTTTGTCGTATGGTTGACTTCAACCTGCATGTCACTTCCTCTTCTTGCTACCTCCATGTCTTCGATGCACTCGAAGACGAATAGTAAAGTTGCTGGGATATACGACGCGGAAGTTAGTCCGCTCCTTGAGCATCTCGTGCGCTTGTCTCCACCGGATCTCAGCCAATGACGACGTGAGCAGGGATGCCTCGTCATCGCTCGTTTTGTACGCGTTCTGTTTTCTGGTCTTTGATTGGCTTTCCCCCTTTGCATTC